GAAAACTTCTGAAATTATGCCAACATTTTCCCTCATGATTTAAGGCAGCCGGTTTCCCATAAGTTATTTAAATTCTAATAAAAATGTCATAATACACAGTTTTGTGCTAACACAGTCTTTTCACTTAAAGTGTCATAAAGTTCCACTGCAGAGATGCAAGGGAAACAACTGCAGTCTAAGAGCTCCATCAAAGATGTCTCTATGTGACTCAGCTGAATACAAGGGCAATTGATCAAGCTATGCGAGACATTTTATGAGTGACATCTCTGTGCCACTGCCAGGTAAGTTAAGACCGTATCTGTAATAATGCATTCTAAATTAATATTTATGAAGTTCTGCTGAAATATAATGCAAAGTATATTATACCTAAAGCAACATAAACCCATCTGAGCTTTTAATAATTTTCCTATACAACCACAGAATATCAGTGTACCAAAAGTAAATACAATCCTACAGTGTTCGAAGGAAAAATTCCTCACATAAAGTCAATATAAAATTCCTTCAGGAAGAGATAAGTCATCATAACCCTGCTTTTCCACTTATGTCAAACACCTACTCCATACAAATCTCAAAAAGAGAATAAACAAACTATGCAGTAGTTCTTCAGGAATTTTTTTTCGGTTAAAAAAAGAAGTTATCTTAAAGGTAAATAGTCCTTTATTTGTCATTACCTCAGAATTTGAACATCTCAACTACATCCTTGCAGCATTTGTGAAAAGGCCTTCTGGGAATTACATTTTCTGTTCTATACAATATTAAACATTTCCACTTACATCCGTTAAAAATTGGAATGTTGAAAATATTTCACTTTCTATATAGTGGAAAACTTAAAAAAAACACTCTTGCGCAGAATTCCAACAAGCTGGCAGCATGGCCCAAGATCCCAGATGCCATGGGAGCCTGCCAGTGCCCACCTGCATGGTTCAGTGACAGAGCATGTTCTAAACGGACTCAACTCACTCCTGTAGAACACTGGATTTCCATTAAATTAGGATTCTGCACCTAAAAAGCCTTCTGCTGGAAAATGGAATGACTCACACAACTCAAAATTAGTATCCCCATCATTAATATGCTATAGGAACTAAATGGAAGTATTTACCCCATCATGGCAGAGCTAGGGACTGGTCCTGGACCTCTTACCTCACCTCTGCTCTTCAACCACAACACCACTATTTTTGTGTAGCTCTTCGTGGTGAAAGTTGTACCTTAATTTCTCTGCCTATTTTTCCCCTACTTCTTACTGCACTGCAGCCAAATCACCATCTTGTTTGACACGTTTTGTCACCAGAGCATTTAAGCAGTCATGGTTACCAAGTGCCAGCAGACTGAGCTGCACTGGTGCAATCTGGACAGTGGGAAGTGCAGAACAGCAGAGGTAAGGAGCTGTCATGGTCAGCAGGGCCTTCTCCCCTGCACTTCCCCTAAGGATATCACATTAAGGGTGAATGCTTATCAGTAAGCTATCATTCATTGTACATCTTTGTATAACCAAGATGTTATAATTGCAATATAATCAAAAGAGTAAGGCAAAAGCAAACAAGGATCGCAAAAGAGAATAAGTAGAAGAGCTTACCCTTGGGTTGAGCTCACTAGAAGATACCAAAAGAGGAGGATCTCCAGAAGAGATCCTTCCCCTCTGGTAGCCAGCTCTTAAATAGGTCCAGGAGGGGTGGAGCCTGGCTCCACCCCTTCCGGCAGCACAGGTGAATTGCCTTCACCTGTGCTCCTCTGGCTGACTCAAGGCTCACCTCAGGTGATTAATCAGAGGTTCAGGCCGTGACTCAGCAGTTCCCATACAATCTTACAAAAATTATTTGAAATTATATAAAATTGATTTTTTGAAGGGTCACTTTCTGTTAATACTATCCAAGTAGGCTTGAACATCCTGAACTCTGAAAATTTCCTTGCAAGCACTCACTCCTCAGGCAGCCCTCAGTGTGAAGTTAATTTCCAAATACATTCACACACATCCAGACATTCGTGAAGAGCCAGCGACTTGGCAGTGTTTGAGAGAATCAGTAACAAGAAGTGTTCAGTAAATAAATGTTCCATTGGAGTTGTTTCCTTTGTTCTGGTGACAAACACCACAAACAAGCTGGCATTCAAACCCTACTTCACTCACACGCCCATATAATTCTCTTCCCTCTAATGCAGGAGGAAATAATGAAGATTTACTCATCACTCCTTCATTTTGGAGGTACAGAGGCTACGCTGGGAGAAGTTCAGTGCCTAACAAATAGCTTACATTCTCAGTAAGATCAGGCATTACTGTTTTGTGCACCAAGGACAGATGCTTACTGCTTGTTCGCTGCAGCTGTACACCCCGAGGTGAGCATGGACAAAGTGTATATGCAAGGTGCTGAGGAGAGGAAGCCACTTCTACGACGAGAGAATAGGTTTAATGGCCTGCCTAAACACTTTAATAAATAGAAGCACTTCCTCTGTTCTCCCTAGATCCCTAAGTTTAACTCTTATGAATCAAACTGTCAGTCATGTAAAATGAGTTTAGCTATTAATGAAAAAACAATAAACGTACAATAATGAGGAAATGACCTAATGGACCAAGGCAGATTGCCTTAATTCATTATTAATTAACTGCCTTTAGGAGAGACTGTAGAAAGAGTGGCTAAACACCGGGATAACTATTAACAGGACATTTTCCTCTCCATCAGTGAGATTTTCTGTTTTGATTTGTTCCGGAAAAGAGCTGAAAAAGAGAGAAAAGGAGACTGTTCTCTGCACGCTGTCAGGGCCTCTGGTACATGTCACTGCTGATAAATTAAATTAAAGTCCATGTACAGAAGCATTTAATCAGGAAGAACAAGCAAACAAAATGAAACACTATCAGCCTTGTTTTGCCCTCACCCTGGCCTTTATAAGACAAACCGTTCTTAGCAATTTCTTTTTCCTAGTCATATTAATTACCACATCTACAGAGAAAAATAACCTGAACAGCAGTTATAGCTTCTTTGAGGGAACAGAAATTCTGTTAAACAAAGAACATCACTGTGCCTACTGTTTCATTGCCCAGGAAGAGCTACTTCATCTCCAATTGCTCTTTCTTACTAAAAATCTCACACATATTTACAATGATTTCTTCATAATTGCACTTACACATGCAACCATGGCAATGATGAGCAACGATGAAGCAACGGTATGCTCGCTTATTTTCTTCTCTTCCTCTTTGAAGACTTCTGTTCAAACAATTGTTTCCAGAGTTAACATGAAAATATTTTTACTTATGTTCCCCTACTACCAATAAAAAATAGGCAGTGGTCAGACCACTCCTCACACTGACCTGCATGTTTCATCTCTAATTCAAAAGCTTGCAGCCCTCTTCTCTCCATCCTGCTTGTCATTCTTAACAAGATTTCTCAACAAACCTTCCTTCATCACTGAGGCTGTGACTGGTACTTTCCTCCACCTCATTTCTAATTTCTTTACCTATCTCCTGTTGCTTTCTGAAAAGGGCTCATTCCTGGAAACCTTTATATTACTTCTTTAGGTCAGGCAGAATGTTGTCCAACTTTTTGCCTTGATGCAGTAATGTGCAAAATAAACACAGGGAAATGCAATATATCAAAAAGAATCACTAATCCCATGCAAAAGCTTATCACAGGGTAGTAAGAATCCCTAGAGTATTTCAAAGCAATGTCTAAGTGTTGGATATAACCATAATGAAAGGTTTATTAGTAAGAACAGAATTCAGGCACCAGCCACTGAGAAATCTGTATATCACTTAAATGCATGTGAGCAAACTCAGCACTGACAACTTACCAAATTAATGCCCACTATGTAGGTTTATTGTTTCTTCCCTTCAAAAAACAGAAGCAGACTTTCCAAAGCAGCAATATGTAACGAGGACTATACTGAGAAGCTCAAAGCAACCCTTCCATGCTTTCCCTTTCAGAAAAACACACAGACTTTCTTGCCATTAGTTCTCTTCAATCAAATGCTTTAGACTCAATTAGAGGACTTTATTCTTAAATAAAAAAATATGTAATAATTACTACACTCATAGCCAAAAAGACATTCATCTGTCTTGTTTAGGTTATGCTTTTGTTATCCTAATCATATTCTGTTGCTACCATCTCTGCTCTGCAGGCAGGATTTCTAGCAGGCAGAAGAACCACACGTTCCCTCATGTAGGCTCCTGAGTTAGCGACTGAGACCACTCTTGAATGCCCTGCTTCTAATACCCAGCAGGGGCTTGTTGAATTCTCTGACGCTATGTTAGAATAGCAGCCCCAGCAAGACACAGATATTAGGAAAAGATACATTGGAAATGCTCAGACATTGACAGAAACTGAATTTTTTCATTTTCCATCATTTTTTCATGATGGAAATTGCTTGTGGGGAGAAATACTAAAACTTCACTTGCCTCCCACACACAATGGGAGATTGCCCCAGAGCTTAGAGCTACACCCAGCCGAACATTTTTTGAATGAAGCAATAACACAATAAGTTTTATTTAAAAATTAACACAGAACAGATTTTCTCTCCAGAAAGCTAGGAAGCCAAAAATCAGAGCATGTGGAGCTTGGATGCTGATGCAGTACCATAAAAAGATACTGGTGTGATAAAGGCTACTGGTAGCTGGCTCCAATGCTACTTAGAGCAGGAATAGCACTCCCAGAATTTTAGCCTTATTTTATGGGACTGAGAAGTAAGATGCTGCATAATATGGCCTATCCCAATCCCATTTCTCCATTATTTGTATGGAAAAAAAATTCAGTGTTTCTGTGACTTAGTTTCTCCCTCTATCAATTCGGAATTGCCTATACTGGTAGGTTTAACGACTGCTTAAAATGGTTTCAGGTAATTACAGTATTGCACATCTACTTTTAGTATTCAAAAATACACTTTTAAATTAATTAATAATACTCATAAAATTCATAAAAAACAATGCGCATCTTAACTTCTTGACTACATGAAAATTTAGAATACCAGGGGAAACTAACAGTTGTCTAAAAAATTAAATATAAGAAATACAGACTTACGTTTGTGTTGCAGAGTTTATATTGCTTGTAGGTGCCAACACATACAATAGCTGCAGCCCTTTGAGGCTGGGGCTGACCCTGGACCATCAGGTGTGATGCAGACCCATGAAGAGTGGAGTCACTGCTATGAAACAAGTTCTGAGATACAGGAAATGAAGATGACTGATAAACTGAAGGTCCCAGGACCTGGTGACCAGCCTGAGGCCCACCTTCTTCTTGATAAAGGTTCCCATGTTGGAGCGAAGGGCTGGCTGGCTGGCTGTAAGTATTTATGAGACTTGGACTCTGATGAAATACGTTGTTCCTTGATGACTGACGCTGCCTTCGAAGTTTCTGAGGCTGCTGACCAGTATCAGTTTGTAAAGGTAAAATGTATGGCACTTTTCCATATCCATATTTTCCTGGACCAATAGGATTTCTATTTCTGCTTCTAAAATCAGAGAGAGAAAGAATGGTTACTAATTCATAAGTGAAGCTTTTAGATACTCATAATTTGCCACTTGTCTAAATTTTCAGTGCAAAGCAATAGTGGAAGGACAATGTTGTTCTTTTCAACCCTAGTACTCTCCTTGAAGATGGAAATTCTCAGAATCTTCTAAAATTCATAACCATGTTCTTGAAGAGCTTGGGATACATAACAGCAGGGAATCCCTGCTGTGAGCCTGGGTAACAACAGGGGAGATTTTGAATTCAGTATAGCAGAGATCATTAAACATTTGCATACATCTAGAAGGCCTCCTGTGATTCTGCTTCAACTGCTACTCAACAGATAGAAACAGGGTGAGGAACATCAAAATATTATAAGACCACTGGAAAAATCAACAAATATTCTTTCTACAGTACAGTTTACTTTTTCTCAATCTTTAGCCAGTAGATTTGAATTGTACCTCTTAGAAATCCAAGAACCAGGCACTGAGTCAGGAGGACACAGGGGTCCAAGGAGTGAGATTCACTCATAATGAGTATTTAATGGACAACCTCAGATTCAGGACATGGAATCAGCATCGCAAAGGGATGCTGTCTGATCATGTGCATGTCCCATCCCTGGGTACTGAGCCATAAGCTTGCCAGGAGCACTGGCCAGCAGCGGGTGCTCACTGAGAGGTAGCTCCAAACACCCACAGAAACAAAGGACTCAGTCTAAAAACTCAGCTCCAACCTACAAGCTAAAAAGCGCAAAATGAATAACACGTTTGAAGCATACAACTCAAAAGGGTTAATCCTGGAATTTTATCTGCAAGCAATAGGCCCATTTGCATTTATTTTCCTTGCCATCCCGCACAGTATCACGTCAGGACTTGATCTCTACTGCTGCAGTCTGAAGAAGTAAGTTGGCAAAAATATCCCTTCCAGTAGAGAGCAATGTGTGAATACAGATGTTCTGAGTAACCTTTGCAGCTCAGCATAGGAGACACTCTTAAAATAGAAAAAAGAAAAAAAAAAATCTTTTTCTTTCCATCCATAAAACATATTTATATATATTTAATATGTATAAAATAACAGACTCGAACTGCAATGAAAACCAAAGGCACTAAATTGACATACTTTCCAGAAACTGAAATGTTACAGATGTCAGCCAGCCAACAGATCAAAGACTTTTCTTTAGGTTTGTTTTTTCTTGTGTTTGTTTTCTTCCTCACTCTTAGGTTCTCCCAAGACCTTTGTTACATGGAAACCATGGAAGTCACTTAACATTCTAGCTTTATGGCCGCGTGGGGCTTTTAATCAATCTTCCTGGCTCAAGGATGTGTGAACAAGAGTGCTGATTTACCCTGGCAGATAAGCAGACAACACTCTTGAGCTGTTTATAGCAGTTAATCTGCTCTATGACCATGATGGTCATTGTTGAGGTAGGTTTTTGATGGTTTCAGCTGAGAAAAGCAATACAGTGCTTTATAGCATTAAGGGAGGAAAAAGTAAGTGTTCTTTAAGAGGACAGGAGAGGAAATAAAGAGAATTATGAACGGCAATTAGTTCAGAAGTTGAGGCTAAAGTGAACTGGATTTAAACAGCCACTATGCGGTGTGTGGTTTGTTTGTGCGGAGCTTTTTTAATAGCCAAATCATTTGATTTCTCAATTTTAACATAGCATCTCTTTTCCAGGTAAAACAAATTTTAAACAAAAGTCATCCTTCCTTCACATCCTAGGCATGTTTTGGCAATTTGGAAAAACTACGGAATTATAGTTCTCAGGAAGCATCTTAGACTTTGGAGCAAACCGGCTCATCTTGGGAAACAGATACAAGTCCTTACACTTCCCCTAGTCTCTAATGAAACTGACCAACAGCAGTTTCTTGACTGCAATTTTGCGCCACTGCCTTCAAAGTGTGGATACAGGCTGGCAAGTCTATTGCAATTCGTTTTTAAAATGTATGATCTGCTGTCAGGTTGCTTGCATTTGGCACCAGGAAGAGAAAGCTGAGAATAACAGAGCAGTAAGCGATTTTCAGACCAGAGGAATGGTAGGAATACGCCTCTGTCTCAGCCATCTAAATGCCAAATTCTTTACAGCTACAAACACTTCCACAGAGGAGCAGCAAGGCACATCGCCTGACCTGCCTGGAGGAACTGCTGCTCACAGACCAGGAGAGGTCAAGCAAGAGGGCAAAAACGAGACTGATGTTTGACTGGTAACCTCCAGTTCAGGGTCATGAATGAGAACTGAAAATAACTGAAGGATATGCAAGAAATGACAAGCAAACTAGGACTCTTCAGCATGGAAAAAGACAAAAGGGCAAACAGCAGTCTTAAATACAGCATGAGCATACTAGCTGAAAGGTTAAACCCATGGCTGAGAGCAGAAAATGACCAAAAGCTGCTGAAATCTCATTGAATTAACTGCAAACATTTGAAAAAATTGATTTTGAGGGATTTCGCATTGAACGGCGGATGTTCAACAACTCTTAGAACTGAAAGCAGTAACAATGTTCTCACTGCTAATTCCTATTTCATCTTGGCTTTTTTTTTTTTAAACACTACAACTTGGGAATTTTGCTGAAGTCTCCACAAGTTTACTCTGCTCAGGTTGTGCAGGAAGTAAGGTCTGGAATTTTTGTTGGAATACAGTTTTCATGAAATGGAAGGTTAACTTCTTGTAGCTGGGAACTTCAAGTTTCTTTCAATGTACAAACTGCTGGAAACAACATGGAACACTCAACCTCTAATTATTAACATCTTTATCAGTATGTATGCATTCATTTAAACCACTACTGCCTGGATGGAAACTAGTTGGAGCTCTGTGTTTTGCCTTAAAGCACCTTTCATTCACACTTGGCAACATCCTTAAAAACTGGGAATGAAGTTTGTTGCAATGTAATTAAGAACACTGTAAAAATAGCATGGTGGTAATTAGCTTTTATATTCCTTGGGGAGTGTCAGGTAGAATTTATGATGTCATGCAGTAACAGGGAGGGAACATTTAGTAGTTCCATAAATGAGGAAAGAACAATGGGGAGAGGGCATTCAGGGGGTAGGAAAGAGGAGGAAAAATCAGACAGTGGCTATCATTAGCTTAATAATTAGAATTAAACTAACTTTCTTGACACTGTTTGGTTTATGCTAATTCAACTCAGCTCTGATCTATCTGTGGGAGATGGAACTAAGTCAAACCCTGACAGCTTACTGGCTGTTTTGAGTTGACAGTTGCATTTTGCTTACCTTCTTCTCATAACCCACATTACACACTTCTCACCACAACGTGGTTTGGAAGCCCCTCTTCATGGTTTTGTTCTTTTTGTTTGTTTGCATCACAACATAAGTCACAAGTGGGTCAAGAAGATAGCAGCACTCCCCTAAACCTATGCATGTCCAAGTATGCTAAAAACCAACAGGCTTATCTTTCTCAGTGTAGCAGCGGATGTTGCCACAGGAGCAATGTTAAATTTACCAATCACATCTGTTGACAAAATCACAATTTGTCAACATCTCTCACACAAACAATCAGAAAGCCCACTATGAGAAAGATCTAAGCATTAAACAACTCTGACAAAGCTTTTAATGCAGAAAAACAAAGAGGGAAATTATGCCACTAAGGACAGAATTGTCATCTAAAGCCAAATTACTGCTTAATAGAAAATATATGCTGAAAAGTGAGCAGCAGCACTAAGTGTTTCATGTCAAACGTAGCCAGTAGACATCTCTGATCTATTATATCCATCTCAAGTAGAGGCATAACAGCTGTTTACTGCAGATCTGGCAATCTTCTTGGGCAGAATTCCCACATACACACCTCCCTGATAGTTCAGACAAACTGTTTAGCACTTTGATAACCAAAATGATGAATACCTTTAAACTTAAGCCAACCTAAATATAAGCTTGAATTTAAAAATACATTTGCCCAGACAAGTACAAGAAATCAGTCTTTGAGCTGTTAGTGTAGGATTATAGGAAACATATCTCTCAATAGTTATTGTTAGCTGGTATTCTTGTCTGTTAACAATCCCTCTCGTGTTAGGGACAAGTCAGCTGACTTCACCAAGAACTCAGCCCTCACAGCACCAAAAAGGAAGTTTCTTTTTCCAACTGTAGCTCTGAGCATACCTGCCGCTCAACAGGCAAATAACCACATTATCATCGCTTCTGAGTTTAGGAACTAAGAACAAAGCTTTGAACCTCAAGTGTTCTCAAGGTTCACTAAGAAAGAAGTACTTACGGAGCCAGTGGGCAGGCAGGTTATCTGTACTGAACGGAAACCCTCTTTGATCCAAGGACACACAGCATCTTTAAAATGCACAAGCAAGATTACTGATTTCCTTGCACCTGCTCTCCAAAGTGCCCTTCACAAAGCCTCTCTCCCAAACAAATACCTTCTCATTTTTCCCCTTTTTCATCACTTCCTTCCTTCTTACATTTATCCCATAGTTCTCTATGCAGAGGTTCCCTGGCTCACTTCTACCTGCAGCATAACTTGTTCTCTTTCTCTTCTGATATCAGAGTGAATAAAGAATGCATTTTACATTAACTTTGCAGCACTTCCTTCCACTTGCCTATCAAAATACTTCTCTTGTAAATGAAAAACTACAAGTTTGAAGATTAGCAAAAGCTCTTACTGATAACATCATAGAAGACGTGACCTCTGGTTGAAACGATGTCTTAAAATGAACCCAAAGGGGCTGCAATTCCTGCATTTTCAGATACCAACCTCTCACTCAATAATAATTCATGGAATAAGATAAAGTTCTTGAAACTTCCCTAAGGTAACATCCTTGAGCCACTAGTTTCACTAGAGATGAGGAAAAACTGCACAGCAGCTACAGGTACAGTGACTTAAATGTTCTTAAGCACACAGTAAGGCTTACTTTAAAAAGGCTGTCCACCACATATTTTTGGCTGCCTTACATCACTGGCTTATCCTGGTCATAACTGCCATCAAGTTTATACCTCATAGCATTTTAGCAGATTCCCTCACAACTATCATTTTTAATGAAAAGG